CGGTTCCGGCGTTCGGACCCCGGCGCCCGCCTCCGTCAACTTTCACGCTGCCTCGGCGGCCCGGCCCGGCACGACGCCAATGGGTGAGTGGGGGCCGCTTGCCTCCCAGCGCCGGGTGCCCACCTCAGCGGGGGCGTGGGGCCCTGTCCCAGGACCGCGGAACCGGGAGGGCGCCCTGGGGCAGGCCCTGCGGGCTGACAGCGCGGTGGGCCACCTGCCTGCCTTGCACTCCCCCATCCCCTCCCGCTCGCGCCAGCATCTCTGCTGAGCCCGTGCCGCGCGGACGGAACCCGGCGGGGGCCTGGGCGTGAGATCGCGGGGGCTGGCCCTGGGCGATTCGGGCTGAGGGATTCAGGGGGTGTGGTTCGCTTCTCGGGTGGGCGGGGAGAGTTTTGTCTTGGCCATTTTCTCGCCCCCGCGCGTCCTTCTCTGCGCCTTGGACGCGGGTAACCCGGAGCCGGTGGGCTCCGGCCCTGTGCGGGGCTCGCGGTACCCACCTGGCCCCACCACAAGGGAGGCGGGCATATCAGGGTCTTGGGGAGGCCGGGTTGCCTTTGCTGGGGACTGACGTGGGAAACGCCCCAGTACCTTGCCTGGCGCTCAGTCCCCGGACGCACATCTCCGGGCGCCCCTCTTTCACCCTGACCCCCCCTTTTGGGCTGCCTCCCCTCCTCCAGCCTGGGGTGCTCTCCCCTCAGTGACGCTCCGAGGCCAGACTCCCCACATCCTTTAAGTCTGCAGGGTCGGGGAGCTGGGAATGGCGATCCGTTCCGGACTTACAGATCAAATAGTTACAACTAGGCAACTAAAACCTTTAGGCCTCCTGGGTCCCATCTGGTGTAGACCCTGGGGAATTGGAGCCACCTTGTGCCCAGAGGACCTGGCACTTTATTGAGCAAAGGAATTGCAATTGCCTGGGTTATTAAAGGTTCAGCCCACTCAGGTAAAATTCTTGCTGGCAGCCAGTCTCTTTTTCATGCCTTTGGCAGATTATTTTTGGGTGTTTCTAGGCCAAGCATAGGAAAGCTGTAGATTATAATACATTATAATAAAGTGAGATCTTTCTGTGTTCAGGTGGTAGGGCTTGGATGGGTGCAGCCATCACGGGATGCTCATGAAGACATGTAGAACAGGGGAGATTTAACCCTCAGTGTTGACAAAGTTACATATCCCGTTTGTGGTCATTTACCAGAAAGGTTTTCCTTTTCGGAAGGGTGCTGATTTGATGGTCTCCAGTTTCAGTGTCACTTTTGCTCACAGTCCTTTTCTGATTCCTTGGCCACTGGAGCCTGAATTAGCTCCTTGCTGTTATCCTTTCTCCTGGAGTATCTTTTCTTTCTGTAACAATCTTGCATGTTGCTTTGAGTTTGTTTAACATTTATCTCCTGTACTGTAGCTCCATGACCCTAGGGACAGTGCTGCACTGCACAGTTTTAATCAGCACTGTTTTTTTTTGGTGCCTGGTACAGAGCAGGCCCCAGATAAATATTGATTGATTGAATGAATGAATGAATGAATGAGTTGCTCAGAAATCCTCCCATTCCGCAGACCACTTAGTTGGCACTCTTGCTTTGGCACCTAGTAAGATGATTGACAAAGGTATATACTTTAAACATCACTGGTCACTTTAATAACAGATTGATTTCTCCTGTGGTGACCAACATTACTCTTTTGATCACCTTCCATTTTGGGTGGGTCGCTGTGAGGGTGGCACACGAAAAGAAAGTAGATACAGATGTCTCCTGTGGCTGGATTGTGTCCTTCATGTTTCAGTGAGAAGAGGACTGAGTCCTGTTGAAGAAGAGACAGACCTGCTTATCATTCAAGGCAGATCTATCTTCATTATCCAGGTCCTCCTAAGAAAATCAGACAGTGCTCCTGCAGTTTATAGTTCTTTGAAACTTAATCTTTTTTTACTGCGGCCATTAAAAAAGAGGGGAAGGCGCAGAAGGTGATTTTCTTTTATTTTAGGCAGCAAGATAAAGTGAACACTGGTCATTTAATCATGCAAATGTTTATCACTTAAGATGCCTTTAGTAGTTAAGATCGCCTGCTATCTGCTGACACGTGTTCAGCAGTTTGTTTGTGATGAAGCACAGATATTTAAAGACTTACTGCGTGCGTCTTCTGACAGCAACCCAGCGCTGCTGTTTCTCTGTACACACAGGCAGTCCTTCCTTCCCAGATCTCCCAAGTCTGGTTTTCAGATTTGTCCAGTTTCTCAATTTGATGCACTTAGTCTCACCTGGCCTCATGCAGACTTTTTGGCTGAAGGATAACACAGCAAAGCTGTATCCTGTTTGGGCGTACCTCTTTTCAATGTGCTCAGCTGCATGGTGCTTTGCAGGTATTGCACTTTTTCATGAATTGAAGGCTTCTGCCCCCTGTCTTAAGTAAGTCTGTTGCTGCCATTTTCCCAGCAGCATGTGCTCACTTTGCTCACTTTGTTTTTTTAGTTTTTAGCAAGAAAATAGTTTTTAAATTGAGGTATGTATGTTGTTTTTTAAGTATGTCATTGCAAACTTAATAAGGTACAGTATAATGGAACATAACTTTTATGTGCATTGGAAAACCAGAATGTTCTAGTGATTCACTTTATTGTGATATGGGGTGGTCTGGAACCAAAGCTGAACAACATCTGAGGTGGGTAGCCTTTGAGGTGAAAAATAACTGCAAACCATCAAATCCCTAACCCTGAAATGAAGCCAGTGAGTTGGGAAATGGCCTCTTGCAAAAGCCATGTCAGACTGTGCCCTCTCAGCTCTCTGGGAGATGCCTACAGTGCTGGGTCCGAGGAAGGCCTCTTGGAATTGTGCAGCTTACTACCAGCCCACTGTGTGAGTAGTGGCGGATTTGCAAGCCCAGCAAGTGATTTCTGCTTAAAGAATACCAAGAGTTTGGGCTGTTTTTAGCCATGTATCGGATTGGTGGGAAACTGCTTTCTGCTCAGCTAAAGCCAGGATGAATGTACCGCGTGGGCCCCACAGACTGCTGGGGTTACAAATGGGAGAGCCGGCTCCACCTTTATCAGCAGGACCTTTACTTCCTCTACCCCCATGTCTGCTAGCCAAGCCAAACTGGCTACCAGCCGGCTGCTCAGATCTTCATTGTTTCTTCTTGATTGTTTCTTCTCCAACCATTTCAGTTCCTTGTGCTTTGCTGACACTCGCTCATAGGTGCTGGTATTTGGACATGCTTGAATGGACCCCGCACACAGGATGGGTGCTCATCCATCTAGTCCACACACAGTGCCCCACCTCTGCGTTGTGCCAGGTACCGTGCCAGGAACAGGCTTACGGCTCACCTAGACTGTGACTGACGGGGGCGTTGGGTCTAATGGAAGAGAGGCTTGAATGCAGATGGCAGGACCATACGGAGGTTGGGAAGCGGGAACCTCTCGTGGGCTGCAGTGGGGTAGGGGCAGAAGTCGTGGGAGGAGCTTGTGCTGGAGCTGAGGTCTGCAAGTGGAGTCATCACTGCTCAGGCCACACCCCGGGAACATATCTGGGACACAGAATGAGTGAGTGCTCTGCCCTTTCTTTGGGCGAACCCACACTGGGGAATTTGGGGCTTCCAGCAAGAGGGCATTAGAAAGGACCCCACATGGGCTGGGGCCTGTGCCAGGTGCTCTGAGGGCATCTTCAAGGCAGTGCATGCTATCGGGGCCCCCTCTGGTTGGGTGTCTTGCTGAGGCTTACTAGGAGGGGAGACCTGGCGAAGGTGGTGGTTGGTCCTTAGCTACGCACCAGGCCGAGGGGGCTGGGTCACGCTGTGGTTTGGACGAGGCTCACGTGTCCTCTGTGTCAGACACGTTCCGGAGTGGCCCTGCTCACGTCTGTCCCATCCTGCTCGGCCAGCGGCCCTGTCTCTGGAGCACTGTTCACGTTCACCAGAGGTGTTCACCAGCTGGTGGGGGCTGCTTTTCCCAGTCCCACAGGAAACAGAGTGACGGGCAGTGACAAGAAATACAGTTGGTGGGGGGAGGAGACTAGCCTCTAGGTATATCCTGCTGCTTCTTCCCCAGGTGTAGTCTAGGGACTGTGTGACCGTTGAGCCAAATGGACAGCTGAAGTGCTATTTCCAGGGAAGAGACAGACTAACAGAGAGCAAGCGGCTAAGAACCATAAGTCAGAGGGCTCTTCATGGGAAAGATACAGGAAGACTGAAAGCCTTTAAGGCTGACAGGACAACCTCTAATACAGTGTGTCTCAGAGGGTGCACTCCTGAACAGCAGCATCAGCCCCTGCTGGGATCCCTTTAGAGCTACAAGTTCTCTGGCATCAACTCTGACCTACTGAGCTAGGAACTCTGGGGGTGGAGTTAAACATCATGTGGTCCTGAATCCTGGTCAAGGTCAAGTGTAGAGCCTCCTTGCCTTGCTGATGGCACAGTTGAGATTCAGGGTGTGGGGGCACTCTGGTCATAAAATAAGCTGCTGTTATAAGTGACACATGACCTTAGAGCACTTAAGCCTGCCCTCGAATGGGGCGGGAGTGACACTAGCTGGCCCATGTCGTTGTTAGTTCTTGGACTTCTGCCAGAGCATCTCACAGATCTTTCCCATCATCCTGTTCCCTCCATTCTTTGTGGAAGGGACATTAGAAACACATTGTTAGCATTATTGGGGTCTTCAGTATTTGTTCATGATTTTCTGTATCTGTCTCCTGTTTCAGATTCTGATTGCAACTGTAACAGGTTACCACAAACTAGGCACCTAAAAATGGCACAGGCTTATCGTCTTCTTTTAAATTGAGATAACACTGGTTTACAGCACTGGTTCACCCCTGCTCAGCTGTATGTTCCCAAAGCCTCAAGTACCCTCCACCAGAGTCCATTGTCCCCTTCCCCCTTGTTATTCCCATCTCCCCCCTTTGGTAGCCTCAAATCTGTAGTCATATTTGTGAGGATTGTTTTGGTTTATTTTGTTTGTTCCTTTGTTTTGTGTTTGTGTATTTCACATGAGTGACTTTTTTTTACGGAGCATAATCCCATCCAGTTCCTTTCATGTTGCCACAAATGGTAAGATTCTGTTTTTTTAAAAATATATTGAATAGTATTTATTTTTGTATATATACCACATCTT